ATTAACAGTAAAAGAGAATTCCACCAACCTTATCAAAAAAGAGAATTCAACCAAGGGGAAAAAAACAGTGAAAAAAGGAAAAGAAACCTTTAGAAGTATTAAATTTAATACACACTTAAAGAATATAGAAAAATCTAGAAAAAATTAGAAAACTCAAGAAAGTTCACTAATTTTGACAAAGTCAAGCTTTAAGAAATGATTATTGTAAACTCTAGAAAAATCTTGTAATAAAGTAATAATATTATAAAGTAATGACTAGGAGAAGAAGCCAAGTCCACCGACTTGGACAATGGCGGCAGCTTAAGAGTATAAATAGAAGTAGTCTCTTGTACAAAGCCAAGAGAGAGAGAAAAGGCCAAATAGCCAGCAAAGAGTGAAAAGGCCAATAAGCCTAGCAAACAGTTTCTAGTTGTTGAAGGCCAAAAAGCCTAGTCCGCTGTAAAGCCTTGTACCCATCTATTGTTGAATAAATAAAATCACTTTTGTTCTCTAAAACCAAGAAGAAGTTTGATTCCAGATGAAAAGACAACTAACAGTACAGCCATCGCCTTAATCCAAAGAACTGAACCAGAACTTAGACCCAGAAATTTCTACTCTCTTGCTAGATTAAAACAGTAACACAGCATTTGTGACTTAAACCCAAAGAACCCTTTTGAGAAAAAACTCATTTCCCTAAGGACAAGTATAATCAGGAAATTGGCCAACTGGATTTTCTATAGCAAAGAAGATGAAAGGAATTTAAAAAGTAAAAAGTTATAAACTTTAGAGCTTTATGCATCAAAAAGGTCAGGCTTATACGCTAAGCAGTATCGGTCAAGCATGTACACCTGAGAAAGTTTCTGAAATTGCTCATGTATAATGAGGATAATAGTATTATTGTCAATGCAGAAAACGTGGGTTGGAAATTAATACCAGGTAGAAAGAAAGATAATACCAGGTAGAAAGAAAGAGACACTGTTGGTTGTGATGAAAGTGTGTTCCATGACATGGAGATGACGACCTCCGAATTTTCAGTGGCAAAATAGTTTTTGTGGCTGTCCTCTCTTTTTCACCGTTACAAGTTGAGAGGGGCAAAATTCTCATAAAAAATGATTGTTGCAGGACTATTCTTTTCGTAGATATTTTGTACCATTAATTAACTGATAACAACGTACACAAGTGCAAATGTGATATATAATTCATTTTCTCTTGACTTTTTCTTGAGAGAATTTTGTTTTCTCTTAACTTAAAAAAGTGATTAATCATTTCATATTAATTACCATCATCAGCAAGATCTGATGCAACTTATTATCCTTTTTTCTTTTCCAAATGAAACAAAATCTACATGAGATGACTTACCAATAACCTTATTTAAGTTATGCTCATAGTTAGTAGATTTTAGTAACATCGGACATTCTTCAATAAGTATTTAAGTTAAAGATTTATTATAGAATTCTAATCTCGACAGTTGAATGACATCTAAGAAACTATTAACACATTGAATTCTAATCTCGGCAATTGAAACAATGACTTGTAATTAAAAGCAATGAATTATTTGCACTGAGTAAAACAGAATCCAATCTGAACTAAAACTAAAAGAAACTATTCATAGACTCTATGGAATACGAGTCCATCAGTTTGCATAATTGAAATATACTTCTTTTACCTACAAATTCGAAGATGAGCACATCTAACGTACACGACAGAACTTCTCCAACACGAAATTGCCAATCTCCAAGCAAATTGTAAACCGTGTAATGGTAGTGTCAACCTACATCAAGATGAAGCAACATCACCAATCTAATGATGGAGATGACTTGATTGAGATTTGAGAAATGCAAAACAGTTACAGTAAGTCATACTTCTGATAAACACTTGTAATTAGAAAGGGAAGGAAGTGAAAAAGGTTAAATATTACAATTAATCATTCAGTTCACTTAAAAGTAGATGGGCTCATGATGTTTTCTCATGAAAACTAGATTAATTGTCTGACCTCAGTTATTTAATGCCTACTCACGTCTTCAAAGATTGATATTGAAGAAAGCTAATAGCACAAAACGGTACTACCCTTTAAAAATAAAGGGGACATCTGTATAATTGAAATTGGTTTCTACAATTTCAGATCTTGTATTTCCGTAGGCTCTGAGGCTCTTCTTTCACAGGTTTCAGGGTTACAAGGTTTTGAAGATGATGAACAACCTTCAAAAAATGATTTACAAATGCCATGTCTCAATGATCTTAAATGCTGTCCATGAGAAATGACCAGCAAATCATCTGAGTATCTAACCGCAAGATCCTCTGCAATAACATCATTTCCAAATCCATCCATAACATTATAAGAAGATGCATGAGTGTGCATACATGTAAGAATAGTAGAAAGAACTCACCTATAAATTGAATAAATCGGTGACTTATATAAATAGCTAGCCAGTGGATGCATTGATGTGTAGAATCCCAGACCATCAAAAAGTAGACTTGTGCTCCCCACAGTATAATTATAGGCCTGATACAAGGACCTATTAGATCTTTAATTCTTCGAATCCTGAATTATGCAACAAAACTATTAAGGTGATACTACAAGACAACTTAAAAGGACGAAACTTTTACACAATCAGTACATAACAATAAGAACCCAGATGAGTAAATCAATCATATGATGAGAAAAACACAACAAATCAACCCCATTCTTTCAACATACTGAACTTAAGTAACTCATCATGAAAACAAAATGTAATAAGGATATCAGATAGCAACTTACAGTCAAAGAAGGACAATCTGCAGAACCCAGAAACAGCCTGTGGCTCAGCAGAAGCGAAGCCAATTTAATTTATAGAGGGAAGAAGAGAAGGAACAAAAATATGCAGACCCCATTTCCAAGGAAGTTTAAACTTGCTAAAGATGAGCTGCCATAATTTTGAATCCCATCAATAAACATAGAAGAAAATAAAGTGAAAGAATAGACTAAAAGAAAGTGGCTGCAGAAATGTGCCTGCAATGACACAATATTGCTGGGTTCAAAAGGTGGTGCATCTGATACAGTTCGTGCTCGAAATATCGGCTTCAACGAAGAAAATGGCACATGTACCTGGAAAAAACGCGACAGACCCACCCTGGCACTCAGACCCTAAACCTTAAAGAACCAGACCCACCCTGCACTCAGACCCGCCTGGCGCCGCCTAGGGCAGCCCAGACCCTCCTAGTGCCTCCCTGACTCGCCCAGGCTGCCTACGCTGATTTTTTAAATCTCTCCTGACGACTATTCGTCGGAACAGGTCTATCCCGGCGAAATTTGCCGGATTAGATCTCTCCCGATGAAACTTCGTCAGCATCGGTAGCTTTCGTCGGGAGAGGTCTAATCCGGCAAATTTCGCCGGGATAGAACTGTGGTTTTCTTGCTTTTTTTAAAATAAAAAAATAAAAAAAATAAAAAAAGTTATTCTTAATTAAGTAATATTTTAGCCTTTCTTAATTACTTTCATTAATAATTAAGTAATATTCCAACACGTAATTGATATTATCGAATCACGTTGTGACTTGAATTTAAGTTTCGAGGTTAAAATCCATTTTTGGAATACTAAAATATTTGGGTAACAAAACCAAATTTCAAGGATTGTTATTAAAATATTTAATACTAATTATTCACTAAAGAAATAATAATTAAAACATAATAACTAATGAAGACATTAGTCACCCAAGAAAAATCAGATGAGCCTTTCATGGATATAGAGTGTACTCTAGCATCCGTAAACTAAATGGCATATAAAAACAGATGCGCCTTTCGTGGATCACAACAAAATGCTTATATCCCTGCATTAATTTCATGAACCATCCGTCTGAAGCTGATAAACCCTTGAAAAAAAAAAGCCCCTTGAGTATTGGTATAGCCGCGCGGCTATACTTGTCTTCCCGCGTGGACGTCTAAATAGTATAGCCGGCTGTACTCGTGTAATTTTTCATTTTTTACAAAATAGTATAGTTCACTATAGTAATTTTTAAAATAGTATAGCCGACCGGCTGTATCTGGGCTTTTATTTTCCTAAATAGCATAGCCGGGCGGCTTTACTGGGATTATTTATTTATTTGTTTTAAAAATAGTATAGCTGACGGGCTATATGGTTTATATATAATGTAAAACAGAATTCAAGCCATTTCAATTACAATTGGTAGGCATTCTAGTCTAGTTTATGAATCAAAGCCTTACCAGAGTGACTGAGAATGGAGGCATTAGTAACAAGAAATGCTATTCTTGTTTGGTTCTCGAGAAAATGAAAGATCACGATTCACGACTGACCTGAGTACTGCAAAGTACAAAACTTGAGGCTGAATTTCCTTTGACAGATCATCTCAGATGAAACATTTTAAGTCATGTAGATTTGTCCTACAGAACTTTATAATCTTGGTCGCTTATGTATGCTCCTGTAGAAGCCTCTGCTTTTCATCTGCTACGAGTATATACACCTGCTACGAGTATATACACCTGCAATGAGAGAGAGAGAGAGAATTAATATATATGTATATGTTGACAGATTTTCTTCTCATTAGTCCTTGACTCATTGCTGAGAGAATTATCTCAGATGAAAATGGAAGTATATTAAGCTCCATTATACTTACAGAGTTAAGGTTGAAATTAGAGCTCTATGTATGCAAAACATTACACTGGTACAGGATCTTGTTCGAGGATTTCTTTTCCTGTAATTCCATCTTTCAAAGTTTTAAAGTAAACGTTGTAGTCCTTCTCAGGGGGTGGATTTTGAGGGTCCACTGTAAATGGCTCACTAAATGGCACAACTGTTAGTTTATAAGTGCAGCTGCTGAGATAGTTTATTATTTTCCATTTGAAAATGTAGCCGTTGGATAACAGTCCAACTGTGCAGTCAGGATGTAACTGTGCATGCCAGGTGTCTCTATCTCATAGGGTAGTGAATGAATGGCTGATCTGTAAATGATGTAATAGGAATGTTCCAATTCCTAACGGTTTTGTCAGAAGCAATATACGTATGATTTGTGTGGGAGCTGAGCTAATATTCTGCTAGCTCTTCTTCTTCCCTAAGCTCTCTCTCTCTCATTTTCTTCAGATTACATTTTCTCATCTAAGAGTTAAAATACAAGATAATAGTCTATGTATTCTAACATGGCCTCAGAGCCAGGTTGGATTGTTTAGCTGGGCGTTTTGAATCTGTGAAGAAAGGAAGCTGCGTTTTGAAGCTGTGTGTGAAGGTCTGCGTCTACCATGGCTGGATCTGGATCTGGAGGCGAGGTGAGAGCGCCAATCTTCAATGGAAATAATTATGAGTTTTGGAGCATAAAGATGAGAACCATCTTCAGGTCTCATGGATTATGGGATCTGGTTGAAAAGGG